ATATATATATATAGTCATAGTAGCTTTGCCTCGGCGGTTCCTGTTTGGCTGTGACTCCATCCTGGAGAGAAATATCAGCTGTGCTGCTGCCATCAACACCCTTTTTTATTGATGTTGGAGATCGGCCTGTTTTTCAGTGTAGTCCAGTTTCTCTGACTGTGACTGACTGGATGTGTTCTCTTCATTTTCTGATATGGGAGCTGGCTTGGATCTTGTCTGCCTTGGCCGCTCACACTGAGCCTGGTTCTGCTGGTAAAAGGGAGTTTTTCCTCTCTACTGTCGCTACAAGCATGCTTAGTGTGAGGGATTGCTGAAGAGTCAATGAGTCGATGCAATCAGCTGGTTTTTCCTTAGACAGAAAACTTTGAATTTGACTGTATGATCAGGTGAACTGTTAAGTGTCTTGAGATGACATGTGTTGTGAATATATATATATATATATATATATATATCCGGATTCAGCGCAGCAGTCCAGTCCAAATTGCCTTTCCTACCTTGGATAGTAAACACCCTGAATAATGATCCTACTGCATTAAAAAAAGCTGTCGTATGTGGATCCACTGTACTGTATACTGTTTTTTTCCCATGCACCATTTGATTATTTGAGCTAAATCAATAGCTATAAATCAATAAAGTAAATCAGTCAAGCATTTTTTCCTTTTTCCATGTATTTGCCTTCTCAGATATATTTTTATCTGGCCTCTAAAAATAATGTTGGTGCAAAAATGTTGACAAGCCAAAGACAAAAACAAAGACTTCTGCAGTTAGTTTGAAATCAGACATTTGACCCTATCGACACAGATGGATTTTTTATTGCAGCCTTTCATTTTATGCATAAACACATTTTACTGCATTCTATAATTCTGTTATTTTGTTTTATTACTTTTTTAGGCGTTAAATTTTTCACTTGAATTAACACATACTGTATTTTGATAGTTGATTTCATAGCAGAGACTGACAGAGGTGCAGGAGAATATGGGATGGCGGGCAACAAAGCTAACGAAAGGTGAAGCACTCTGGAACAGTACGTACCTTAGCTCTGTGTTTGAGCTCAGGGAACCTGTCACTGCAGCTTTAGCAGGTCTACAAACTGACATTAGCTCTCTTTTATCACAACATTATGACATTATTGCAGATTTTCTCAGAGGGCTGTCTCCATTCCATTATGCCACAGTTTAGTGGTCAGAGAAGTGGGGGTCTGACTCAAAAGTCATACCCTTATTATGAGTGCTACACCATGCTCTATAGGATGTGAATGGGAAAGTCCTTAATTCCTCAGAGCACTGCACTTGTGAAGTCTGAGGAGACCATTAAAGGGGAAGCTAGATACTTTGCAGTCAATGAGCATAATGTCATCGCTTTATCTGAGCTTTAAAGAGAGAGACCTCAAAGCAGCAGGGGCCTGAGAAGACACTCCCTTCTGAATTTGCTGATATTTTTTACGAAACTCCTCAGCATCATAATCAGCCTAGGCCTTATCAGGATTTCACCCACATATGGCAACTTCAAATTCTATTTCGGTTCTTAAAGGGCAGACCTAGTGACAGTCATTTTCTAGGCTGAACGGCCACATGTGTTTAAAGCATTCTGGTAAGGTGTAGGCTCTCTGATCTGAATCAGACTGGACCAATCACGCTGCAGGAGGCAGGAGTTTCAGTTTGGCAATCATTTCTCGAAAGTTTGGATGCATTGACTGCACCTGCAGTAAATGTAGTGTTTTTAGTCATATATTAACCAAAAAAAAAAAAAAGATGTTTATTCTGCAGAATTTATTGCTTGTTATATGACTTTATGTTACCCTGAGATAAAAATATGACAGATATTGCTCAGTAATCTGTGATCTCAGATAGCAAGATGCTAGTTTATCAGACCAAGTTAATCCTTCTTAGGGATTGCAGAAACTGAGCGCACAGTTGAGTAAAACCTTTGCACAGATTTCTGCTAGCTTTGTTTTGTTCACCGGCAGAAACTTGCAGGGTTTATTAATATTACAAGCTATGAAAGGTACTGAACAAAACAAGCAGTTTACATTTGACTGCTTATCTTGCAGGTGTGGGTCATGCATCCAAACTGTAAACAGATATCCCTGGGCAAGCTGCATTCACTAATTGTAAAACAGAGATTATCAAACCAGGCTTACTGATTGCAGAAACTGAGAGCATAGCTTGAAGCATGAGCACGGATTTTTACACACTTTCTTCTTTTTTTTCACCTACAAACAGTTGCTGAGCTCCATATAATGGTGTTGCAGTGTTATTGTTTACAGCGGAGAAAATACCTTGTAAAGACATTAAGCCTAACTCTGGGAAAAATCAATGGGTTTGTGGTGGTTGAACAACTCACAACTTACAGTAGTGCTTATTCTTGCAAACTCACTGAAAATCCTAGTAACAATATCTCACTAAAGACATTTTTACGCATTAGGCAAAATTAAAAAAGGCTCTTAAAATGTTTCTTTTTTCATTTGTTTTTTTCAGACCATTCTCTTATTCTTGTTTATTTATTTTTCCATCATACAGTTGTTGTGGATCATACGGAAGAGGATTAGGGCCACTGGGAAAAAAAAAAAAAAAGTTAACTGATTTTTTTTTATTTTATTTCAGTATAGTATGGGAAAAAAGTCAGAATTCTGA